TCAGTAAATGTCACAAGCCCCATATCTAAATCATTAAGCCATCTGACTAGGCTGTTTCCTTTCCCAATGAAATACAATGAGATCAATATACTTACTTGATCAAATCCACCTCGCTGAGATGCCTTAAAATGTTTGCTAATATATGCTTCAGGTTCTTTTGGAAGAGCTCGGCAAGAATGTCTATTCTATCTAGCCCCATTTTCTTTCCAATTAAGTTACAAAGTTCAACTTTTCCCCTAAAAACAATTCTGTCTATAGCAGCCCAAGACTTGAGATTTCTTTTACCATTTTTTTTCAAAGTTGAGCAAATCATTTCTTCATAATGGCTTACTGGCAGTAAAGTCTTCTTTGAAAACTGTTCTTGGTTTTGGTTCTTCCTGAGACAATGTTTTGGTGTGCCACAGAGATTCCCAGCCAAAGGTATACTATCCTCATGTTCTATTGTATCAGCATACTGAGTACTTAACATAGAGGAATAACCACTGTCCTCATTAAGTTTACTGTTTTCCAGTGCCTCCATTTCATAGATTACTTCATCAAGTCTCTGCGTTACTTGTTTGTTTTCTTTGTTATATATCGGTCTTCCTCCATCTTCAAGTTCTAGATTTCTGGTGGCTGCATGATATGAGTCACTAGGGAGTATTTTCTGATGCTCTTCTGCACAGCTTTTACAAAAGCCTTCCTTGTAATTCAAGGGGCAGGATTTCTCCAGCCTTGTTTTCTCCACAGCAGATTTCATTGGTGAAAACCCAGCATGAAGAGATGCACAATCAAAATCACGTTTCATTTTGCAAGAGCGGTTAAGGTTCGATTTCATTTTGTTGTTTGTATCCTGCAAGAAACAACAAGGACAGTGTTACAACACAGTGTAAACTACATCACAAATTATTCTTCTTATAAAGAATTAACCATGCCTTCCTTCTGCATTATGAATTTTATACTGTTACCTAACTCACTCTCTAGTGTCTGAAATACAACTAGTGGAACTGTGGACTTGAAGAGCCACTAACTCAATCTGTGTAAGATCATCTCAAAACTAGAGGTTTATGCTACATATAACTAGGGCTAGGAAACTGACTGGCTGATTTACTTTGTCACCATTCCACCAGAATAGTTTACTTTTAGACACACCAATGCCTCCACTTGCTACCCTAAATGTAGCAACACTTGCGGTCCCTGCAAGGGACACCGGTGGCAGAGGGTCCACAGTGACAGTGCTGTGCAGGGGTATATCCGGACCAGAGAAGCCTAAAGTTTGCATCCAAGACCAGAGGCAATGCTGCTGCTGCAGCCAGGTATCTGGCATTTTTAAAAAGGGAAGAGGTTGGTTGGCACACGAAAAACTTATGTGCTCACATGGATGTGTAAATTACAAAGAAAAGCAGCCACCCTTAAACAATGGCCAGAGGGAAATAAAGGTTACTTACAAGCATGATTTTAAGAGGGTGAGAGGTCAATAGGTGTCATAGGGAAATTGAGCTTTCCTTGCCCTGTTTCTTTCCCCTCCCCCCAGAAATACGGTGCTATCTATATTAACAATTGCGGGGGGATGGGCGAGGGCTGAAGGGGAGAAGGAAGCCATCGCTGCCCTGTTAAATCTAAAGGGGAAATAATTTTCAACGTGTTTTGTGATCTGTAGGAAATATAAGCTCCCCCATTTGAGCGAGAATTTTAAAGGATTTAAGCACTTTCAGCAGTTTTGGAAAGAAGCATTAGAAAAATGTTTCATGAACGATTCAGAGAAAAAGTCCCTTCTTTGTACCTGCGTTTGGTGGAAGAAAGGAACAAATACGCTTATGGCTTTGAGTATTGTGAGTTAGGTGAGAGATTCAAGCCTCGCTAAGACTCTTCCTTCCCTTTCCCTCTTCCTTGCGAGCGAGCAGAGGAACTTTTGGGCCGAAATCCTAATGAATTGGAAAATGTCCCCCCATCAGGGCCGGCCCTGACCCTCCGGAGGAGCGGGCTCAGCCGCGGGCCCCCGCGGCGCTGTCAGGCTTCTCCCGCCCAGCGCTCAAGATGGCCCGGGTCGGCGGCAGGTAGACCGGGTCCCGGCTCTACCGTGCCTCACGGACCCGGGACCCTCACCCTGCGACTTCGGGGGTCTCCCCTTTCCCCAGCACTAGAGGACTCCACCTAAAATGCTGGTGGCGGGGCGAGCAGGAGCGCGCCGGAGGGATGCCCCCTCCGGCGGCGTGGCCCGGCGGGCGGGAGACAACGCGGCGCGTCCCCGCCCGCGCTGCCCGCCGGCGGAAGCAGACCTGCGCTCCCCACCCCGGCTCGGACCCGGGCCCGACCCCGCCGCGAGCAGCCCCGATCACCCCACATGCGACTCGTTGGCGGGATCGGGGCGCTCCGTGGCCGCCCATGTGCCGCCGTCCCGTCCCATCCCGTCCCGCCGGCGGGATAGCTGCGGGACTAGGCTGCGGAGGGCAGCCGGACTGGGCGGCCGCCGGGGATCCCCCTTCCCAGCCCATCATGACGGGCCATGCAGCGCCGCCAGCACTCCCAGTCCCGTCGCTGCGTACGCCGGCAGCCCCCGCCACCCCGGTCACAGAGCCCTGACGGCGGAGCCCCGCTGGCCCGAGCCGGTCCAGCCGCGGAGCCCTGAGTGCGGAGCCCCACAGCCGCAGACCGGCTGGTGGACGGATGGCTCACCTCTGATGCAGCGCCGGCGGGCAGTGTGTGGTCCGCGCTCGCCGGGCGCTTTTTAAAAACTTTGAATTTGGTATCCAAAACCGCGCCGGCCAATCGCGCCGCGCCCGCGGGCGGGACGCGGCCAATGGGAGGCGGGCAGAAGGCGGGGGCCAATGCGGGGCGCGGGGGGCGGTGCCGGCCCGGCCCGGCGTTTTCCCTCCCTGGCGGCTCTGAGAGAGGCGGGTGGCGCGGCCGTGGCTCCCGCGCGGTAGCGGCTCCCGCCCGGCCGCGGGTCGCGCCCGCCCCTTCCTCCCGCCCTCCGGCACCCGCACGGCCTCGCGGCGCTCTCCCCAAGGAACTGCCGCCTTCCCCGCCCCGGGAGTGACAAGCGCCTAAGCTCAGCCTGGCGCCCAGCAACATCTCCGTTTGGGTTTTTAAATGGACGAGCCAGGGATCCTCCCATCATCCTGACACGTTCCCAATGTGCAAAGCTCCTTTGTCGGGGAAGGATTCTCTTCCTCACTGGTGATATTCAAGAACCGTCTGAAAGCAATCCTGTGCCATGTGCTCTAGGATCATAGAATCATAGAATCACAGAATCATAGAATCAGCCGGGTTTGAAGGGACCTCTGAGATCATCAAGTCCAATCCTTGGTCCACTACCACCGTGGTTACTAGACCACGGCACTAAGTGCCACATCCAGTCTCAAGGATCTCTCAGGACCCTGCCTGGGCAGGGAGGTTGGATCAGATGACCCACTGTAGCTCCTTCCAACCTTAACCATTCTACGGTTCTGTGATTTAAGTCTGGTGGTGGATTTTGCATCTGGGCTCCTTCCCATAAAAGAATTGTATTTATTTTAAAGCATGACCAATGCTACTAGCAGCTGAAGAGTGAGGAGGAGCACCACTGGAAGCCAGGCTGACTGGACACTAGTGCAAGGATCCCTGCTGCTGCTGGAAAAGCAATCTGCTCACAGCTCAGGGAAGTTGCATTTTCAGAGACAACATCCCTTGTGTTAAAATTAATATAGAGTAAGGCTTGCCATGATGAGCCAAGAGGACAGTGAAGTCCTGTCAGATGCCAGTTTTAGGACACCTCAGTCAGCCTCCTGCTAGAATCACATCATGTCTGTTTTTTCTCACACTGGTCAGAAGCTGGTCACTTGCAAGGCAACACCACCTCTGTGTCTGTTCAAGAGCTCGATGAGAACAGGGAGGCTGTGAGCCAGGCAGGATTTGGCCAGACGGGCTACAAGTTTATCTAAGTTTTTCATGCAGTAATCCAGTGCTCAGACCCAGTTGATGTCTCTTATTTGTTTGGATGAATACGGAGCTGAAGTTAGAAAGAACTGCAAACTCCATCCATCACTGGATGTAAGAAAGCCTGGCTTGAAGTCAAGTCAGTAAGACTCTCACAAGCGCTCTGTAGTCTTCCATTTGCAGTACTGATCTGGTAGGAACAATGACTTCAGCCCCAGCTTCTGTGCCAATCAGTATCTAATGAGTCAATGTTTCTTTTTACTTTTTTATGTGCCAGTTGGTAGTTGTAAAACTATTAGTAAATGTAGACCTAGGTCTCATGCTTACCAACAGGATATATATATGCCTTACCTTACACATATAGATATTGGTACATCTGAAGTTAATGCATGTGTCTTTAATTAAAAGATTTGGAACTTAACCATAGTTACCATGCAGTATTTACTAAAAAACAAAGCCGATAAAGGTACAGAATGCCTTACAGTGCTGTTAAACAGATAGACAAAAACACTAAGATGCCTGTCACACCATGTAACCTTTAGAAAATCAATAAATCGGAGGGTCAATTAAAAGCATAAAGCAGAAACTGAAGCGAAGCCAAGTAGAGACTAAAGTATCAGCTGAACAATACTGTAACAATTCATTTTGGACTCAAGAACAGAAACATTCTTTCAAAAATCAACTCATATGATTTGTAACTTGGCTTCCACAGCTTTTTTTTTCTAGAAAAAGGGATATTCCTAGACTTTTGTTCTGAAGGGTATGAAAACATGATGAAGATACACTTAGACTCCCGCTCATGACATTTTAATTAACAGATATGCAGATAGGTAGAATTACTCAAAGAAATTAAGTTTTTTTTTGTTCTCTCAAGTAAGCTATTTGACACTGTACTGACATTTAAGCTACTGTTTAAATGAAAACTGGAACTACAAATAGCTAATTTTTTAATGTGCGCATACCTTTCGAGAGTGGTGTATCAGTATCTTCTCAGTGGAGAAAACTAAAAATTGCAGTTCCTTCCAGTGCAGTCAAATTTACTTTTCAAATGGACTGCTGCAGCAATAATGTCTCGTATGAAGATAATAAGGTCTTTTACTCAGCAAGTAAGAAAACTGTTTATTAGTCATGAGGAAAGAAGTTGTGGTGTTTTTCATGACCTGAAAAGCAGTTCCATTTTCTGGGTGGTACTCCAACAAGCTTCCTTGCAGACCTTACAACATCTGTTCTAATGGGCTGAGAAAGAGTAATGTTCAGGAGGAATTTTTTTTTTCATTTTCTGAAATAATTTCCATTAAAGACTCAAAATCAGCATATTCTCTCAGAGTTTGTATCATTTCATCTAGTATTTCTTCTCCTAGCATGAAAGACTCAACATGATGCACTGATTTGCTTATTCTATGGTCCGTAATCCGGTCCTGTGGAAAGTTGTATGTTCTGATCTTTTCTGATCTTCCTTTAGTCCCAATCTATTGAACAAGAAGAATGAGTTTATCATCATCTTTTTATAAAAATTATGAAATATTGATTAAGCATCTGAAGTGAAAGGTTTCTTTTCCTCTCATGATTATCTAAAATTTGTTGTAGTTACATACGACTCAGATCACTTCAGTGGCTGCAGTAATTGTTCTCAAACATATAAAAGAACAATTTTACTCCATCTTTTTCTAATACTATTCTGGTTCTTCATGCTGCAATCAAACGTGCAGTTTGTTTCACTGGATCTCTAGAATTTACGTACTAGTGAAATTTTAAGTTTGGTTAATATATAACCTCTACTGCTGAAGTAAAATGTAATTTTGTTGTCCAGAGAAGTTGTGGACTCCACAACTTTTTGTTTTTCAGGGAAGTCTAGTGGAAGGTGTTCCCTTTAAAATCCCTTCCAACCCAAACCATTCTATGGTTCTATGATTTTTTTTTTTCCTCATGTAAGTCCCTCCTGGGCTCCTGTTCCCCTATATTTCCATTACTACTTGCAGTTCAACACAGAGGTTACCCTAAGAACATATGCTTGTACAGAATTATATTGTTACTAAACAAAACTTACCTGAATCTTTCGAACACTGTTTCTCTTTTTAGTTTCTTCTTCTAGTTTGGCATTGTATAGTTTAGCATATAGCATTTGCATAGCTTTCTCTTTGTTTCTAATTTGAGATCTTTCTTGCTGACATTCAGACACGATTCCTGTCAAAAATATCATGACATTTAGCACTTAAGAGTAATACATACTAAAATAGTTTTGCAGTTTCTAGCAGACTTTTATTATGTTACATTAAACTGTTTCTTTCTTCCATATGTATTTTGGACTGGAAATATAGAAGTCCAGACTTACTAATGTCTAATAATACATTTTGGGAGAGAAGTGCAGGTTGAATTGTACAGGTGTTTTAAGCCATATGACAAGAAATTTAATGCCACATGTTGGACAACAGGTGGATAATAAAATAAAAGATATGTGATGTGATCTGACTTACAGAAGACATCTTGAATACTTGTAATTTTTGGCCACAGTTCCAGGAAATGTAAGATTTAAGGAGCAGTAAAATACATGAGATAATGAGTGTATCAAATATGATCAGAATATAAAAAAGTGGGCACTATTTTATGAACAGCAACAACAAAAAGCGTGTTTTCTCATCCCAAAACATATAATTCAAGACAAGAAATGAACAGCTCAAGAAAGGAGTAGGGAGAAGAAATACAGGAAGAAAACAGCACAAGCTAAATTGTTATTTGGATCTATTTTAAGTAACTCTGGTAATATTAAAGTATGTTTTATAAGAATACATAGTACTACTTTATGAAAGACTTATTTATAAACAACCTGTTGGATTGCAGTGAAGATTTAAACAATATTTAGGATGAGAGAAATAGAAGTAACAGGACAATTGTAAGGGAAGTGAGATCAGAGAAATGAAGAAGAGAATGGTGGAACAGGAAAAAGTGAAGAGATAAGGTGAGATATAAATCCCCCTATTAGCAATATATAACCATGAAAAAATTTGCAATACACTTTAAGATTTCTATAACATACCCTAATATCAGCAAAAACTAAGATCAACTGCTGGTTTTAGTTTGTTGTGTTTTTATCCAAATATGCAGGCAATCCAAAGCTTTTTCAATTTGGAGTATCTTTTGTCACGATAGTGATATATAGAATTTTATCCTCTCTACTGTTTATCTTCTACTTTATTAAGGTGATGCAACAAATGCAGAATGGATCAATGTCTTAAACAAATACAAAGAGATCAGTGGCAAAAATCTGGATACGTGAAGATAAAGAGCACTTGGGATTACCCTGAGGCTGTAAAGCCTGAGTAATGTTTGTAGTAGAGAAGAGGAAAAGTTAAAATGCCATGAAGTCAAGGTAGCTGTTGAGGATTGCTCAAAGGGAAGTAAAAGGGTTAGGAATGGCAATAAAAAAAATATATGATAGCTAAAATAAGGTAGCATTTGAGGGTGTACCATATCCCTCCTATGTTTCCTAACCTGAGCCAGAGGGATGGGCCTCCTAATTATGTGTGTCATCTATAGGAAAGGAGCCAGCAGACAAATGGAAGCTGGCATCCTGAATAGACTCTGCAATTAAAAGCAACATTTTAATATGGAAATAGAGCAAACTCTCTTTTGGAGACTAGTCAAGAAATGGCAAATCATCAGATTTCAACCTACTCCATTTTTCAGTGTCATTTTCATTATTTGAAAGCTTAAATATAACTTTTTGACAGAAATTGATCTGGGTGCTTGTAGAGTATAATGTTTAGTGGCAAATGGATAGCTTAGCTACTGAAGCCAGTAGTCCTTACTATTAAAAACTGGAGTGAGCAGAGGATGATGCATTTAGAGTACTATGAACAGACATGAAAACTATATGAAAACTCTGCTCTGCTGTTGTTCAGGTTTCAAAATACAACTATTGTTTCAAAAGAAATTCTGACAACAGTTTTGCAATGTAGATCTTGTAGTAAGGAAAAAATGAAGCACCTGTTGGAATATGAACTATCCTTACAGCACTATCTGTGGTATTGACATGCTGGCCTCCAGCTCCACTAGCTCGCTTTGTTTCTATCCGTAGATCTTTTGGATTAATTTGCAGCCTCGTCTGTCATGAGATACCAAAAAAAAGAAAAACAAAAAAAGAACATATTTATATTGTTTATTTCCATACAGGTATCAAATATGCACAGTCAGTTTATTTTATAAGGCACATTCATGTAAGATCAAACTTTTTAAAGATTATGAATGGTAGCTCACATCCACGTGTAAACATATTAACAAATCTTCATAGTCGGACTGGACTTCCAACAAAATGGAACCCAGGAAATCAGACAAATAGTAGCTTAACATATAACTATCCCTTAGCATTCATTTTCCCCTCTTCTGAGAGCCCTGCACCCTCTTTTTCCAGCAGAGTTAACCAATACTTGAACTTGATACCAGACGGTTTTTAGATAAAATGGAAGATATTCCCTTTTCTGGTTCTGGAATGAAGCAGTAGGCTCTGTGAGAAAGGAGCGAGATAACTTCAAGAGAGTACAGAAAAGAGTAACATCTTTGACAATCTGCTAGTTCAACATGAAACAAAGATCAAAACAAAGCTTTATTTCTCAGCCAGTTGCTTTTAACCAAGCAAATATATTGAGACTTAACCCATACACTCTGGAAGGGGCAAGTGAGGACAGTACAAAAATGGAAAAGAGGAAGTGCTAAAAGAAGTATCTGGGAGCCCTGTAAAATAAGTCAGTCTTAAGTTACTTTGTAGAAAATGTAGTTTTCCACAACACATGCAAGACAGAGTAACAGTGAATTTTCGAGTTATAGTTAAGTGAACTGTCAGTGACTTTCTTGAGATCAGGATTACAAGGAAAGACGGAAATTCTTTATTTCACCCCGTGATAAAAAATAAAAATAAACAAATAAATATGACCTAGTTTAAAATTAAGAAGAAAAAAAAGTCATTAAGTGAGAATAGAAAGAGAGACAAAAACACTCAGGTATCAAACATTGCTTGTGGTAAAGTCTGTTATACTAAAATATAAATATTACCTTAGTGGGTTGGGGTAATATTGCAACAGTCATTGTGCTGGTATGAATGCGTCCTTGTTTTTCTGTCTTTGGTACCCGCTGAACACGATGTACTCCTCCTTCAAATTTCATGTATTTGTAAGCCTCGAGACCTGCTATACTGGCTACTGCATGTCTTAGGCCACCTTAAATACAGAAGAAACACAACTGTAGATCCATAAGAACTGCTGGTGCTATGCTGTTATACTTCAAACAGTGTCTTTAGACATCGTTGTCATTTGTTTCTTAAAATTATGAATTTATCATTTAAACACTTAGGCAGTATTATACCTGCAAGACAAATCTTAAAGCCACACATGCATACTCACACACTATCTCAAGTAAAGGACTGTCAGATTCTTTTTATAGAGTCCAATTTAATTTTTTACATACATAAAGAGTGCCTAAGATCAATGTACATACATGTATACATACAATCATAAAACACAACAGAACTCTAACACCAGTAGCAAGTTTACATAAAGATCAAATTTTCAAAGCTGCTTTTAGAAACATCAATTTTTTTATTGTTAGTTCAGAACCTATCATTCAATGGGAAAAAAAGAACCAGCTCCTTATAACTGAATGATGAGTATTATTCATACTCTTCTTATTATCCATTCTCCTCTATGCATCCTACCCATGTGTCTTCACTTTTTTATTTCATTTTAATCTTTTGCTTCCTTGGAGCGAGCAGAACACCAATTCCTGCACCTCTTACCAATACATCCAGCAAAACTTGACATCAATGTACTACAAGCACCGAACAGCTTGGAACTTGGAAGTAAAGACTAATGCAATCATGGTTTCATGACAGAAAGAGTTTATTGCTCTACTAGTTTATGACATTCTTGCTCTTGCCTGTTTGCTTGTGTGCAGTATAAATGAAGGATCAGAGAAGTGATGGCACTATAAATGAATACAATTTTTCACTCATTTTGGTTTCTAATGCAGCTCAATTCCCAAATCCCATTCTCAGTACAGTGGATGGTGTGCCAAGGGAATGACTGAAGAAGAGATAGGTGGCCTTGAAAGAGTATTGCTGTTTAAGTCTTGCAACGTGAAACCACAGGGACAAGATAGAAGCTTTTTAAAAAAGGAAAATAAAGACAACATAGAATCTGAAACTGCCCAGCAGAGCAGCAAAAAGTCAGCAGCCAGAACACAGGCCAGTTCTTTCATCTCCATGGACAAGGTGTGCAAATGTTTTTACTCTAGAGAAATTTAACATTCCCTCCCAACTTTACTAAAATAAATTTCCTTTTACAGTCATGTTTGTTGAAAATAGCCTAAACTGCCTCTTCCTTTCTATTCCAAGTAATTTTTGTTCTTCTGATTTTTAAAATTTTTCTCCTACTTGTATAAAATCATATCACTTTGATTCAAATACACTGTTCAACATACCTAGTGCTTCAGTGATGTAATTTATAGCCACTATCTACTATCAATTCTGTAAGAGGAGTCTGTCATGTTTAGAATAAATCTCACGATAAAGCATGTAGTTAACTGATGAGAGAGCATGTAGTTTAACAAATACGATCTTTTAAAATCTTTAGTTTAGATCAGGAAGTTTAATTTCAACAAGTAGTGTGAAATCTTCCTACTTCTATGCAAACACTATTTGAATAAATGAAAGATTTCTTCTTTACTCTAAGAGAATCTTATGTAACCTAAAATAATGAATGTAGTTAAGTAATAAATCTTACTTACTCCTTTATATATGAAAGCAAGTACTAAAAAGACCACATGATATCTCTAGATTTGAGGGAGAAGCCAGTTTATGTCAGGAGTAAAAATAATGTGACTGTCCACAAGGTTACAGCACCGCTGACAAGTATTAATTATGTGATAAAGTGTTCATTGCAAAAGCTAACTTACTGTCTTTTCTCTCTCGCTTCTCCTGGCATTAATATTCATACCATGGGTATAGTCAGTCTGTTGAGCTGCGCCCATGTCTGTGACATGTTCAGGAGAGTTTTAGTTTGTAGTAGTAACAGTGTGCCTGTGGCACTGCAGTGCTTAGCATAAGATGACCAAGAAACTGGTTCAAATGACAGGTATTTAGGTCATACTGCTTTGAATCAACCATTACCAACATGGGTTTAATATGAAACGCAGCCAAACCTAATAAAATTTCAACAAACCCTTTACCCTGGCAGACATGTTGTAGGCCTGTCAAATATAGTTAGCTCTTGCTAACTATGTGCTTGCCCCTTTCATATGTGCCACTCTATCCTGAAATCTGATCTGCATAGAACAAGGGTGTTTGTACTCATTTTTTAATGGGGCATCTTATACCCAGATTGAGACAAAGTCCCACATCTGTGTCTCTGCCTGTCACTACAGAGTGAGAGGCAGTGGATAAATAATGACATGTGGGTTTGTTCTCTAATGTGTGCACTAAATTTTCAATGTGCTACTTTTGCAGAGTGGCATCCCTTGGAGTACATCAATAAAGTAACTTAAGAGTAGACTGAAACCAATTTTTAACTGCAGTTTTATTTAGCATTCAACTCATTCACACATGCTCACATTCAGATTTCAGTCAAATTCAAGAGCTCTCAGAAATGAGGGAATTTGACATTTTAAGTGTAAGACCTTGCTCTTGCTAACGTGATTGATAAAAATGCAGCGAGGACAGGGTGAAACAGCCTAGTGCCACCAGCATTCTTAGCTCCACTCAGCACAGCACAGACAATTTGAAACTGAGGGTTCAAACTTGCCTTTCATTGGTAGTGCCATGCATAGTGCCCCTATTTCCCAATCTATTTCTAGCATCTGTTTTGATAATATATGGTCACGCAAGACCAAAAAATACACAAGAGGCTGACAAAAGCTAGGGCTGTCTTTATTTTTCCCAAAATTTACATCCTACTTTCCTAGACAATAATTTCAGTGCACAGGTAAGCTCTCAGCAAAACAGCAGATTTTAAAATAAATATAGCCATTAAAAACCTAGCCCTTTAAAAGAGGAAATACAGGTAGATATATACTAGGTTAATATATCACTTCAATTTCCCATTTAAGGCATTAATGAGAACGCCTATGAGGTCATAGGCTCTTTGTCCAAGGACTTTCATCAAAAGTCCTTTCTCTTCCAACCATAGGACTCTGCAAGCTGAGTCAGACCTGACTTAAAACTATCCCATAACAGGGCTTTTAAGCCAAATCAGTGAACTGATCCAATTAGCACTGGGGCCTCAAAATTGCTAGAGCTGAGAGAGAAGAAACATACAGCTGGCTAGAAGGTGAGACAGCCCTTGCTTAAGCTGACTGTGAAACTGTGCTCTGAAGGTGAAGCGTATGTGACTGCTGGGCTTTACCTGATCCAAGTCTTGCCTCAGTGAAAAGGGCAACACTCCTCTCCCCATTACACACGATAAAAAGAGGCCCAGACCTTTTCCTCTTTCTGTTTACACCCATCTAACCTGTACAATGTTTATTCCATTTACTTTCAAAAAAGAAATTAAACAGATTCCTGTTGGCTTTGAAGGCTGAACTGGCTCTGCTCCTGGCAAAGCATTTGTCTGGTCATAAATGGGGATGAATGTGACTTTGCTCTTTCAGCAACAAGATGTACTGTAATATGAAGCTTCTTGTCCCTACCTCCACTTGAACTGAGCAAACAGTTTACTTGGCAAATGACTTCTTGACAATACAAAAAGTTTATTAATAGTAACAAAGATAGATAATAGACAATACCGAATTCACATGTCATAAAATTGAAAAAAGTGTATTATTTGAATTGTCAGCAGTCACTCTAAAAGGGGATGCTGATGCTGTGAAAACCCGAGTTCATGTTCATCAACTTGAAATAAGACACCTGCTAAGAACTCTAAAGAAAGTTATTTGGACATTTTACAGACATAACATTTTTTAAAATCAATTCAAATAAAGATTTTAAGAAACCAGAAGTGTAAGTGAAATCCATAGTATATAGACATGGGTATAGACAAGGGCTTCCCTTTTTCTGAAGTGTGAATACAGACAACAAATCAATCCTAAACCTAGATTTTCAAGTTGTCAGTTTGTGACATCCAACTGCATTTCTTCCATGGAGCCCAATTTTTGATCCTTCTTTAGGGTACAGAAGGACCTTCATTAGAAGGGGAAAGTAGCTCACTGACATGAGAAGCTCAACTGGGAGAGTTGTGAATATTTATTTGCTGTGAATTTCTACACTGTTGAAACAGAAAGGTTCAAGATACTTGAAAATATCACTGAGTCCAAAATACGGTGTAAGTAAACAGAAGAAGTGTTAAAAGATGCTTCACATTTCTCAAAGCTTGGTAAAAACCTCTCTGCAATTATATTAAGTGTTGACTGAAAAAATATTAGAGTTTTTCTGACAGATTGCATATCCTAACGTCCTAGCTTTTCTCATTTCTCAAAGTTTCACAAAAAAAAAATTGGTGAAAGTATGACTAGAGGTGAAGTTTCACAACCAATCCGAGCTAGGAGCAGTAAGCTGCACAAGTGCCCATCTACTGATCCACACCCACTAGGACATATGCATTACCTCCACAGCAATATCTGAATAAGCAAAATGTGCTAACTTTACTAATGACACCATGGATAACTAAGGCTGTAGATCTGTTAACACAGTCAGACTTAACAAATCTATCCTGAGAAATGCAGCTAGCAATCTGTCAATCAAAACCCAAAAGCCCTGCCATGGCCGGCCATGTTTTGGATTGCAGTTTCATGGTGGGCTTAAGCTTGCTGAACCTCTTGCTGCTGGAAGAGGGTCCTGTTTTCTCACTGCCACCACCAGCAGCCACACACCTTTGCCTCCAGCACCTCTGTGAACATCTCTTCTCTTGTGCCAATTATCTGAAAACCAATTGATTTTTTTGTGTGTGTGCAATTTTTCAAGTGGACTGACCTGGTGATGAGACTCTACAAAGATGCACAATCACAAGTGCCAATGCAAAGCAGTCAGCAACAATGCAGAGATAGCAAGATGATCTTTGTGAAACAACTTTACACACTATCTGGATTAAGCTAAAATTAACTATTTTGCCACTGCCTCAGTTTGTTGTGTAAAACTACCAATCCCATCTCTTCAAAGGCATTGTTCCTAAACCAAATTCACAGCTCATCAGCACCAGAAGATCCAGTTTTTCCACCTCCTTGCATTCAGTCCCACGTTGCTGCTTATCCTAATTAGCTCCCAGGCTCATGAGAACTGGCTTAACACATTGACAAGGCAAAAAAAAAATAACCCAGTCATAAAAAGAAAAGTCTTTGCCAGTTTAAGTGAAAGGACATCAAAACAGACAGAAAAAAAATAGGTGGGACTGCTCAGACAGGCAGGGATGCAATAAGGAAAAAGGTAGAAAGGAGGAACATCTTTTACTGGCATCAAGCTGTAAGCTGATTACCTGTGAAATTTTAGTTGAAGACTTTAAAAAATGATTTGATCTCTTATCTCTCCTCTCAAAGCCTCAACAATTCTCCCACTTTGCTCATTTGAAATTTATTTCAAATAAATTCATGATGTTTTAGATGAAACTTTAAAAATTGTTTTAATAAAACTGATTCCTCTCTGCCAATCCATAATAATAAATAGACTTTCAAACTGCCACCAAACTGACCTATAAGCACTAAAACATTAACTAAGTAAAGAGCGTATCCAAATAAAAAGCATATACAACCTGTATTTCTAAAAAATAAAAAAATAAAGCTAAAACAACATCATCACTTTCTGAATTTCCTTCTGCTGAGCACCTGTCTTTCAGTATTCTCAAAATGTAGAAGTGAAACTACTGAAAGACAAGTTTTCTTTTTGGCACTTTTGTATTTTAATAGTACTTCTGAAATGGAATTTCATTCTCAAATACAGAAGCTGAGGAAAATTGTACTCAGATATTCAAACAATCTTCCACTTCTAAAATTAAGATAGTGCAAATTAGCTTCCTGTAGTTAGGAAATTAAAATGTCATATGAATGAGTGTTTTAACTTCTATTAGGAAGTTACAGTATTTTCATTACTGACCTATTTCACTGGGGAAGTATTCTAATACTTCAAATTTCCATTTTTTATAGGCAGCATATCGTTGATACATATCAAATATCTCCGAAGTGAACAGCATGGCTTCCTGCCCTCCAACTCCAGCAGTTACTTCCATGACCAGATCACTTTCATCTGTTTCTTCTGAAGGAATCAAAAGCAACACTATCTGTAAATACAAAAACACTCAGCTAAGACTCCTCTCTGACACTATCCACAACTGAGACAGTACAAAACACCAAGACAAGTCTGCAACTGACCTAGGCTGTGTTCTCTGCACTGACCCCTGGGTTGCCCTGAGGATGGACTTCTCATGCCTCCTGTAGTGAGGAAGCAGCAGCCAGCAAGAGGTGAGTGGAGGTGATGCTGCATTGCAGGATGGCTCCCTGTGTCTGTTTACAGTTACAGGAGCTACACTGGTCTCTCTCAGGACCCACAAAACTTCACAGAAGTTTCCACCCATTAGGAAAACTGCGAGGACATTTGGACACTGCAGGATTCACGCCACTTCTTGCAAGACAACTGAACATCTCCCTTCCCATCAGATTTCCTTTTAACCCCATCTCAACTGAAGAGCTAAAAAGGTATGGATGTTCAGAAGACAGTCCTTCAACAACAACTCAAATGTATTATTCATTTATTTATTTAAAAAGGAAGAGCCTGATCTGCAGAAGAAAGATACACCAGAAGTAAAAAACCATATCCCAATTTTGCATGCTGGATCAAAACTCTGGCTGATTTGCAAATTCCTTTCAATCATCTTCCTGTATTAGCATTAGGTGATGTTTCTTTCTACAGATAATTATTTCTTTTGGCAAAATCATAAATATTTACAAAAATATTTATAAAGTGACTGTTGTATTGCTGTCAGAGGAATAAAGAATGTGACCACACCAGCTTCCACTTCACCAGTAACATTAAATTAAATAGATTTTTATTGTAAAGATCATGATCTTTTTTTTCAAATAACACAGATACTCTGTAAAACCTATATAACATAGCAACTAAAGTAGTTACATAGTATTAAAATATTTTTTTCCAAAACCACTAGTATGCCTGATACTATGTAAGTTTCGTTTCCAAGGGATAAAGAGCTGGACATCCATAACAGTATATCCAGACAAGACAAACTATAGAACCAACTTAAAAAGATACATTGATTAAAACATTTTCAGGTATAAATAGGCACTTGCTTACAGCCTGTTTCTGTAGCATCTCCTTTTTTCATTTTCATTAGATAACAGACACTACTTGAGTATAACTAGCAAGGAGGGGAGGAAAGGAGTTTATCATATACATACTGATGAGAATCATAGAATGGTTTGGGTTGGAAGAGACCTTAAATATCACCTAGTTCCAATGTTCCTAAGAAGACAATTTGGCCTTGTTAATTTAAGAATGACAAGGAAACAAGAGGCTTTATAAGGGGATCTCACCTGTTGTTTTAGTTCAGCTATCTCTTCTTCACAGGAGGTAATTTCCATTTCTGCAAGCTTCCGTAAATCTTCATTCTCATCTGGAATATTTGAGTATGGTTAACCCTCAGACTTATATAAGTGCCAGTCTGAGAAAACCTTCTGAAAAATAACCACATGAAGAACTTACTCTACAAAAAAAACCCCAAACCCAAAACCAACCTACCACAAACCTTGTCCCTCTTCCCCAACACACTAAACCTGCCAGAAAATCAAATTAATACTATCATCTGTAATGAAGGTACACAGTACATATTAAGTGTGTTCTAATCCTGTGCAGGTATAAGACATGGGAAAAATCTGAAACTCTAAAAAACAAAACAAAAAAATCCAACCTAACCAAAAAAAAAAAAAAAAAAAAGAAAAATTGCTGTGCCAGTGGTCAAACAGTGGCATAGGTTGCCCAGATTGGTTTTAAGTTTCCATCCTTTAAGATACTCAAACCCCAACTAGGTGAAACCCTGAGCAACCTGCTGTGGGTGATCCTGCTGAGCAGAAGGGTAGACCTGGCGATCTCCAAAGGTCCCTTCTCACCTCAGCCATTCTGTGACCCTAAGAAATTACTTCCTGTTTTTCAGTATGACAGGAACTTTAAGGATTTAAAGAGTACAGCAGCCCCACAATTGGCACTCTTTGTTAAAAGGACTATTATCCCTATAATTGCATGCAAAAATCTGACGACTGCAGTAGTAATTTCAAGTATTTTATATCTCTCAACTTATTCCAGAACAGCTGCAAAATTTCTAAAACGTCACTAAAAACAAAGTTATGGGAGAGCTCTTGCATAATAAGAGGAACTTGTAATTTTGAAGCATCACTTGATTGGTCAAGACTAATGCTTTTCAATTAAGACTTCTTTTTCTGTGCTACAGTTTCAATATGTTAAAGTGTTTTTCTTTGTCAATATCAAACTTCAAACAAAGGGGGGAAAAAGAATAATTAAAAAAAAAATCAACATTTTAAGCAGCCTCTGATAGCTCAAAAAGGGAGAAAATGGTACATACAATGAAAAATGGGGAGCTGGGGCTAGACTTTTTTCTGTGTACAGCAAACTTTTAAATGTGCTCAGGAGCAGTCTTGCACTAGAGCCACACCTTTTCAGCACTGTGACTGTAAATAGTCACTAGCTCAACTATAAATGAAACTTTTTTACTTTATATTTTAGGTTTAATATTGGTGAATTAACTCCTCCATCACTTCTGTAAGAAGGAAATTAAAAAGATAATAATGCATAAACTGGTTTAAACAACAAGCATGCTTTATCTACAGCTGGCTAAGAGCATGCATGGCTGACTATCTGACTAACTGTCACTCTTTGAACATGGAAACTTGATTATCTCCATCTACATTTCTTTACCATAACTACTGACTGATCAAGGGCTAGTCATTAAGGCCAACAGAAGGAAGGATAAGAATTAAGGAATTAAAAATCTGTTAAGAGTCAAACCAGTTGTTGATAACACAATTAAGAAATAATCTACCAATTAATAGCAGTTGCATACTTTAAGATGAAGATATAATACAAGCTTTAAAATCAGTTTAAAATAATATAAACAAATATTTGCAATTATTAACTGCAGAAGTGCTCAAAGTTACTGACTAAGCCTTTGTGATCTCTTCACTTTGCTGAAATTCTAAGCCTGGCTTTGACAACGCTGGCTTTTTCAGCAAGTTCTGAAAGGAGAAAAAAATCTTCCATTCCATTTCATTAAGTTAGCTTGGGTCAATTATTAGTTCGCTCAAAGGAAACATTTCTCATTTTCAAACTGAGGTGTAAGAGAATGAATAGTAAAAATACCAAAAAGGAGCTACTGTTTTCAGACAGTGTTTGCCACCTTCATTAGTCAGAACAGCCACCTACAGTTAGCACTTTTGATTAATCGGTATTTAGTAGTAAGTATTAAATGTTCTAGGGAATATTTCACAATCTAACGAATGTTTACTGACCTTAAAGTACTCCTTTTCTGCATTTTTGTTTTCTAACTGCTATCAAAAGGAAGTTTGATTCTGGGTAAAAAAATATTATTTGGCAGCACTAAAACTGCGCAGCTACTGACACAATACAAAGTCAAAGCACGTGTGGAGGCAGCACAAACAGATGCTGATGTCTATGACTGTAAATGGAGACAGGAAGGCAGGCTGGGCGGTCTCGGCAGCAAGAGAAAAAGGGATTAAAAAAACCTTTAAAAGTTTTCTATCCCCGATTAATTATCTTTACTTTAGTTGGTCAGAGCACGGTGCTAGTAACACCAAGGTTGTGGGTTTGATTCCTGTATGGAACATTCACTTAAGAGCTGGACTCGATGATCCTCGTGGGTCCCTTCAACTCAGAATATTCTGTGATTCTATGAAAACACGCTGCTCCTCTTCTAGTATCAGCAGCTCCTACGCCGGCGGATGTGTTTTCTCCACTCGCCCGTACCCTTGATCTCTGTTCAGGTGGTTTCTCTACTTCCGGAAGGCCCGAGGAGACCGCGCCGGACCCCCAGTGACAGGTGTGTCACACCCTCCCCCCACCCCCCCACCGAGGTGACACGTGTGGCGCGTCCCCCGTACGCGCAGTCCCCGCCGCGCCAGGTGCGCGGCGCCGCCTCCTTGGGGCTGCTCCGCCAATCGCGCCCGCACATGCAAATGTCCCCGCGGCCCGCGCGTCTCGCACCTTGCCGCGCCAGCTCGCGCGTGTCGCGCAGCTCGCGCTCCTTGTCGCGCAGCCGCCGCACTCTCGCCGCCAGCTGCGGCGCCGCCCCGCCCGCGCCCTGCGTCCGCGCCTCCAGCAGCCGGCGCAAGGACGGGGCAGCGAACAGCTCGTCCAGGCCGGGCCGGGCGCTCAGCCTGCGGCACGGCTGGGGTGGACATCTCCCCGCTGCGCTGCTCCTGGCCGGCGCTGCCTGGAGGCTCCGAGGGGGCAGCGCGGCGGCCCGGCAGCCCTGCGCCGCGCGGAGAGCTCGCGAGAGCAGCCGCATGTCCGGCTGAGGCGGGACCACGAGCACCCTCCCTTCTCCGGGGCGTCACTGCCGTGCCGGAGACACCCGAACGCGCTCGGCCACCTCCCTTCCGGGTTTCCAGAAGCTGCCGAAGGCGCTCGGTTCTGGCTTCGGGCGTGGTCGGGGATTATCGGGGCTGCGCTGGCGGAAACGGCCGAAGGCGTTCGGCTCCCTGCGGCGCGCGGGGCTCCGCCCCGGGGCTGAGAGTGCCCTGATTGGCCAACGCTGTCAGGGCGTGGGGGGGGGGGGGGGGGGGGGGGGGGGGCGGGGGGGGGGGGGGCGAGGGGGTCCTGAGCGCCCCCTGCGGGCCCCGGAGGGAACACCGAGGTGGGTTTTTGGTCACTGACAAAAGCTGGGCTCCTTGGTGAGAGCTGTGAGGGTGTTGAGCGTTTTAATGCGGCGCTTTAGTGCAACCTGCAAGGCTGCATAGGTGAAAGGGGGACGTTGGAGCTGTGGCTTTGGATATTCGAGTTACTCTTACAGACCTTCTCCTATCCCTTCAGGAGAAGTTTTCAGAATTAAAGTACTCTGAGGAGGAACATGCAAATGCTTGTGGAAGGATGCCTCCACGGTGAAAGCAGGTGCAAAATTAAGCACTTGGAGGAATTTTTAGAGGAAGAAAAAAAAGACAATTCAAAGTGCCTTCGCATCAGAAATTAGTGATGAGACTAAAAGACAACCTGTTCACAAAATAGAGATCTGAGCACAGTCTCTTATGTCAAAGTTTTAAATAGGAAGGCAGTGAGGATGCAGTTATTTAGTAACTCTGATGTAATGGATGCTGTGGGATGATCTGGACAAATTCTTTCTGATATGCAGATTGAGTGGCATAGTAACCTTGTTTTAGATAACATCATTAATGAGATTCTTGGCTAAACTCGAAACAGTTTGGAGAATATACTTTATTATAAAAATGTGCAACTATCCATAAAACTTTATTAGGCAGTATTTTATATTACAATCATTAGAGGCATCAGAGTTGTGTCCTTACCTTTCTTCTCTCCTTGTTCATGTCTTAATAGAACTAGGTAATCATACCTTACAACTGAATTACACTGATGGAATAACTGCAACTTCCATATGATACATAGTAAATTGTTATTCTCATGAATGTAACATCAAAAGCAAGAGTAATGCTTGCACACCTAAGTAGTTTTGGTAGTCAGAAATGAAAACTTGGAAGTTTTTGTTCCATGATGGAAATCCAAGGGCAGTACAGCCAACATGAGAATTTGTTATTCAGAATATTAAACATTTAAATGAATGATTGGATAAAAATATTTTCCTATGAGTGTAAATGCACCGTTTTGGACAAGGTTTATTGGCAAAATACACTGTAACAATAGTTTATAAGTAAAAATCACAGTCGAAGACCTTTGTGGAGAATGTAGCCTGTGTGACTAGTCTGGTGCTGATAAACGACATTGCTTATGAAATCTCACCCACTGAAAGATTCCCTTGCACCCACTGCTGCCTGGCCATGAAGCTCCTTGAAGCCTTCTTTCAGAAGGGTAAAGGAAAAATGACCAAATTTGTGCATTTAATAAACCAAATATTTTAGTGATCTGCAACAGTGAATCATAGGATAGAATCATAGAAAAGATTGGGTTGGAAAAGACCTCCGAGATCATAAAGTCCAACCCTTCATCCAACACTGCCGTGGTTACTAGACCATGGCACTAAGTGCCACATCCAGTCTTGTCTTAAAAACCTGGCAAATCCACCACCTCCCTGGGCAGCCCATTCCAAGGTCAGATTACTCTCTCTGTAAAACTTTTCTTCGTAATATCCAACCTAAGCCTCCCCTGGCATAGTTTAACACCATGCCCTCTTGTCCTACTGCTGGTTGCCTGGGAGAAGAGACCGACCCCCACCTGGCTATAACCTCCTTTCAGGTAGTGGTAGAGAGTGATGAGGTCTCCTCTAAGCCTCCTCCAGGCTGAACAACCCCAGCTCCCTCAGCCTCTCCTCATAGCACTCGTGCTTGAGTCCCTTCACCAGCCTCGTTGCTCTTCTCTGGAACTGCTCCAGCACCTCAATATCCTTCCTGAACTGAGGGGCCCAGAACTGGACACAGTACTCAAGGAGTGGCCTCACCAGTGCTGAGTACAGGGGAAGAATCACTTCCCTGGTCCTGCTGGCCACACTGTTCCTCATACAGACCAGGATGCTATTGGCCTTCTTGTTCACCTGGGCACACTGCTGGCTCATGTTCAGCTTCCTGTCAATCCAAACTTCCAGGTCCCTTTCTGCCTGGCTGCTCTCCAGCCACTCTGTCCCCAGACTGTAGCACTGTATGGGGTTGTTGTGGCCAAAGTGCAGGACCTGGCACTTGGCCTTTTTGAACCTCATCCCATTGGAATCAGACCATCTCTTCAGCTTGTCCAGGTCTCTCTGAAGAGCCATTCTGCCTTCCAGCAGAGCAACACTCCCCTCCAGATGACAGTTTTACTACTGTGTGAACCCTGCTTGTGAACAGAAGTATGGAAAACTCAGGAAATTTAGAGTAATGGGGGATTTAATGTAAAGCTTTTGAAAAGAAAAAAAGGTAGTGTGAGTCAATCATTGATGATCAGCCTTTGAACTGTATCCCTGTTTTAAACTGGAAGGATGGATTTCCACAGTGTGAGTTCACGGACAAAGGAAGGGGCAAAATCTGGATTTTGGTGTAATGTTAAATAATATGCAGACAATGTTTCTGTTAAGTTTTTGTCAGATGAATTTAGTGCCATTATTGTTTTGTTCTTTCATCCCACAAACATCACTTCTACTGATGGTAGAAGTATTCAGGACATACATGAACAGGGCTGATGTTCTGTCATTGCAAATGTACTCAGGATATTGGTGAGCAGGACTGGACCTTTGTCACTGCATCCAAGTCTCAGAATGTGCTACCATGCTACCCTTCTCAAAAAACAACAGCATTATGGGCCGAGAAAAATACCTATTTCGAAGTTGGTAGTTAGGCAAGGGTCAAGTTAACTTGGAGCAGACATTGCAGCTGCCTATGTGCAACCTTAATTTTTTGCTTTGTTGGATTTGATAAGGACTCTTAAGGCTCTGTTGGCTGGGTTAATGATGCCAGGAGCAGGCTCACAGACATTGTGGAGGTGTGAGGTTTGCTCCTGGTGGTATAGAGAGTTGCTAAAGTTAGAGATTTTCTTGTATCAGCTTTGATTGCTTTCTAATTGGTATTGTGGAATGCTTATGTTAAATGGCTTTCACAAGCACTTACTGCACACAGAAGATGCAGGTTCCTGAGCAGGCTCAGGCCGTGGTCAGTTCAGCAAGCTGCAAAAAGCTCCCCACCTATTTTTAGATACTGGTTCCACAGACAAATGCTCCTTGTGATCAAATTTGCTGCCTAGGAAAGCAAATTTGGCATCAGGTGACAGCTTAAACCCTGGCTGTTTAAGGTAGAGTGTAGTTGTCCTTTAGTTGCTCAGTTTAGATCACAGACACTTTAGAATGCCTTTAACTTAAAACAGAGTATTACTAGCTTAAGTCTGGTTTGTGTCCACTCTCTGTTGTCCTGTGAATGGACCATGTGGACTCTACAGGTACTCAAGTGAGTTGTGGACAGGCTGTGGACCTGGAAGCACTACGGCCACACTTCATGCTACTGTGCGATCTGGAACTCGGTTAACCTGCAACCCAGCCACCTGAGTCACTGGCCTTTCTTTTCTCCATCATACCTTTAGTATCTTTAATACTATATGTGTCTTCAGTCTAATTTGAATACTCATGATACTATCCATGGGTTTTGCTTTATCCTGGGTATCCCAAACTACTTTCAGCTCAGTTATGTGAAAGCTGGCTGTAAACAGCTAGGTTGAACACATGCGTAACACAATATAGATTCAATTTTTTTTGAAACCTAAAGGTCAGGTGCTCTGCTTATTTGTGGCTATTTGGCATTAGGCTCTATTTGACAGAAATATTAAACACTGGGCAAAAGTGACAAAAACGTAACTCACTTTCTGTAGTGCACTTGCTATATACATTCTCATGAAAAACTGAAATACAAGTTAAATACATACTTATTTTATTCCAGGCTATAGAATAAGTGTATTTAGGCAGTTTTTCAAAGTGTATTGTACACTGCATGCACAATAAATCAGTTTCATAGCTTGATTGTTTTACAATTTGTGTTCAAAGAACTGTATGACAGGCAATGAAATCATGTTACAGCATGACTTATTGTCCATTTGGACTACATCCATTTTGTTATAAAGAAATTTTGGGAAATCCAAACTGATAAATGAAATATATATTAAACATTTTAATATCAGCATTTGCTCCAAGAAAGAAACTTCACATGCTATATTCAATTTTTAAATCCCTCCAAATAGAGGATTTTAGACAATAAATTTTGAACATGATTTCATTGCAGTATTACACTGAAGATTGGTGTAATATTTTTCAAAATGATGTCACAGTTTCCAAATACAGATTTTGGAATTTTATGCTAGAAATCAAGATAATATTTCAGGGCCTGCACATCTAGCTTTAAAACTGTCTTGAAAGGATGACTTGTTCATGTTGACAAGAACTTCTGCCTGTGTGAAATATCTTATAAAGATAGCTAATGACTAGCAGGTCACCATCAAATAGTAACATTGAGAATATTAAAGTCTACATTTTTAAAGACTTATGCATGCAGTTTTGTCTCTTACACATTGTTTAGATGTGTGGACTAAATGTATTGTGCCTCAAACACCAACAACTTGAAATTACACTATGTAAATATATACATATATGATGCTGTATATGTTTAGTACCACAGTAAATATAATTGTAATCAAATGATACTAGACATATGTAGGACCATAGTTAAATTCTAAGTAAGAAAAAAGTCAGAGAAATTCAGTATTTCACAGTAGAAGGAGGCAGTGCTTTCTCACTGAATTTTCCCCCCTCAGGACTTGTAAACATCATAGCTCTTATTCTATCAGTATAATAATTGAATATTTTATTCATAATGGTAAATAGCTAACCAACATGAATAAAGTTGTCAAAACACAGTAACACTTTCAGACAAAACAGGTATTTATT